TCGGCGGCATCTAGCGGTCTGACTGGCGAGCCAGCTATTAAGTGTAACCTGGAATACAGTTTCAACAGAGAACTTGCTAACTAGATAGCATATTGTGCTGTCTAAATCACATAATGGAGGAATGTCTTTTTACTAATCTTTCGGTGGCCTTTTTTAGAGTTTAAATCAATAACGACAATGCCAATATAGTTTATATTCATCTTCTAGGTGACAGTTAATTTGTTTTTGCCGCGGACAGAAAACATGGATATTTACAAAATTTTCTACAAGTTCAGCCGACTATAAATTCAGAGTAAAAAGACCAGATATTTGTCCTACTTACTGGAAGACTTTATAAAAAAATGGTGTCAAGCGTTAGTTCATAAAGAATTAAAAGAATTAAATGGATCAAGTGAGCCAAACAGGCCGATTAAATTAGTCTATAGTTCCACCCATCTGATAACGCCGCGATCTACAAACTCCTTCCCTCCCCTCACTGAAGGCAAGTGCAACATACACCCGGCAAATCCGTTTGATATATCTCAAAGTTCCAAGTTATATATACAGGGTGTCCCGAAAAAAGTGCAATATTCTACCAGCGGTTTCTAGAGCTTAAAATAGGAAGAAAAGTTTATACAAACATAGGTCGACAAACGTCCCCTAAGGGCGCTACGGTCTTTTAAAGGGGCTCCCCTGAAGATGGTCTTTCCTTAATATATATTTCCGAAACGTGTTGAGATAAAAACATAAAATTTGGTATTGTAACCTAGTTTTTTATGCTGGATTTAAAAATATTAACAATTTTAGACAGTTTTGTTTGGAAGGGACGGACGGTTATTTTAGCCTCAAAATTTTAGTGTGATTCTATTTTTGAAATTCAAATTTTTGAATTTGAAAATTTAGGGTTTTCTACATAAAAAGGTACTCTTATTGAATATCGATAAATTGTGCCATTTTTGAATAAAATCAAACTAAAAAAATTGTCACATGATAGGAAATGTACTGCGAATTTAAATGAATTGTTGATTATACATAGTTAACCATGACTGCAAACAAAATTGTTTTGATTTGTTATGACTTATTTTGACGTTACGCTGACATTGTTAGGAGTGTAGAATTACTATATTAAAACCAAAATTTTTATTAAATCGATTTAAACTGCCAAGATTTAGACAGAGAACTGACTGACATGCATTTTGTGTACGGGTTTTGCAATGGCAGTTCATTGGCAGCCGTAAGAGAATATCAAAGAAGATTTCCGAATCGCATACTACCTGGACGTCGAATGTTTACTGATAGTCACCGGAATTTGTCAAACCATGGAAGTTTTCAGCGCATGCAGGGCTCAGGAAGGCCAATGGGAAATCATCGTATGGATATTGCTTTAAGTATGTTTGAAAATAATCCGCAAATAAGCATACGAAATGTTTCAGAAATTATGGATATACCTCGATCAATAGTAAGAAAAATTCATGAATACCTAATTGATAGTTATCCTAAAAATAATAATTTTAGAAGAATGCAAGGATTACATCCGTATCATTTTAAACGGGTGCAGCATTTGACGGAGGCAGATTTTTTACCACGAATCGAGTTTTGCCGGTGGATATTAGCAAATGAAAATACTATTCCTAGAATATTATGGGCAGATGAGTCAATATTTACTAGGAATAGTGCTTTTAATTTCCATAACATGCATCACTCGTCAGTTGAAAATCCAAAAGTTGTTCCCCGTACAAATTTTCAACACATATTTTCATTGAACTTATGGGCAGGAGTAATTAGGAATCAAGTAATTGGGCCTATTGTACTTCCCAATCGTCTTAATTCAGAGATGTATCTGAGCTTTCTTCAGAATGAGCTCATGCATATAACACCATTGGATGTGCGCCAGCAGTTTCAAGAAAATATGTTTTTTCAACATGATGGCGCCCCTGCACATTTTGGATGCAATGTTCGAAATTAGTTAAATGTCAATTTTCCAGACAGGTGGTTAGGCCGAGGAGGTCCTATGGCGTGGCCGCCACGTTTACCTGACCTAAATCCATTGGATTTCTATTTCTGGGTGTCATTAAAAGACCTAGTTTACTCGACTGAAGTAAATACTCAAGAAGATTTACTTCAAAGAATCCATCAGGCTGCAAATGAAATAAGAATAAAAAATTTTTCCACTAGTTGGCACAATTTGTCGATATTCAATAAGAGTACCTTTTTATGTAGAAAACCCTAAGTTTTCAAAATTCTAAAATTGAATTTCAAAAATAGAGTCACACAAAAATTTTGGGGCTAAAATAACCTGAGCAGTCCGTCGCTGTTACATACGCTTCCAAACAAAACTGCCTAAAATTGTTAATATTTTTAAATCCAGCATAACAAACTAGGCTAGAATACCAAATTTTATGTCTTTATCTCAACACTTTTCGGAAATATTAAGGAAAAACCACCTTCAGTGGAGCCCCTTTAAAAGACCGTAGCGCCCTTAGGGGACGTTTGTCGACCTATGTTTATATGAACTTTTCTTCCTATTTTAAGCTCTAGAACCCGCTGGTAGAATATTGCACACTTTTTTCGGGACACCCTGTATATTAGTGATATACGTACTACATAATAGATGAGTAGAATGAGCGGGACTGGAAGCGTATTAATATACTACCTACAAAGAGATGGGATACACCCCTCCCCCCTCCTCAATCCAAAACTCTTCACAAAATGTTCCGAAAATCATCAGGTGCCAGTGAAAAAACTAGGTTTGGGCGATTTTTATTCTTTTGTTATTTACTTTTTTCTTTGCCAGTGGACCGATTTTCAAAATCTATAAATATTTTCCGTCCTTGGTATAGTAGTGACCTTGATGTGAAAATTTCATCCAGATTGGAGCAGTACTTCCCGTGTTATAAACGGGCCAAGGATTTGCGAACAGACCGACAGACGTACAGACCGACGGAAATGAGTAAACATGGTTATTAGTAACGCCCAAAAAAACATAATATCTCTTTGGTGGAAATTTTCGCGATTACCCTTAGACGTTAGAAGTAAACAATTTTGTTATAACCTTTTGCGTATGCTTAACAGCGAAGTAATCAAAACATTTTTTTAACAGACGGAGAATTCCCAGATGAGCTAATATAATTCTGAAATCATAAGAAATTAATAATTTTTGTTTTCATTGTTATACGTTGACGGTTAAATAAAGTGAATGTTATCAAGCTAGGTTTCCTGATTGATAAACAAATCCATTTTATTTCCATATGCAACCAGTTTTCAGTACCAATAAGGATTAATTATTACATTCCACGGTTGGTCGTCCTTTAAAATTACTATACCTCTGTGAAATGCAAAACCTGAGGTCGCTTCTCAGTTTTACGTATGAAAATAAATATTGTCTTTATAGGTCAATAATAATTCTAAAGCTTCGTTTTTAACAAGTCAACTATAGACTCTGTAGCTCTCCACAGGAATATGAACTATATATAGCTATATTAATTTATAAAGAAGGGTCGCGTCTGCCTCGAGGCAGTTTGCCCGACGAGACGTTTCAACTTCAGCCATTTGTTTTCAACAAATTAATAACATATCGTAACTGTTTTATAAGATGAGACAATACTTGTGCTCTAAGTAACGAAACTTTATAAAATCTGTTTGGACAATGGAACTATTGTCTTAGATGACATGTATTTTCATCTTTGTAACGACTTTAGTTACAGTAAAAAAATTCCAGTACTGGAAAAATAGCACTTTTGAATACTTCGTTAGTTGTGTGATGCCTTATTTGTACTACGGCAATTATTTCAGGCACAACATATTTGCTATCTAACAGGCCCTTGTTGTTGCTGTTTGTTCATTTTTAAGCTCGAAAGTTCTCGACCGTTGGTATAGTTTCCAGTCATTTTAGAAACTAAGTATAAACACATTCATATGACCGATAATGTAATAAAAATTAAGGAACACTATTTTTATCTGGTAAGAATCTCAATTAAATCTCCTGACGTAGCCAGAAAAACAAAAAAAAAACTTCATCAAGTTTCGTCTTTGTATTGGCATTTGGAAGACTCCTCAAAATCATTCCTTAAGCTGTAAGCTCTAGCTATGATCAGGTATGCAGAGAAAGCTATTTTCATCACAGAAGTAAAATTGATTTCAAGCTAAAACAACTTCGCGGTACCTATCAGAAGATAGATCAGAAACATCAAGTAGTGATATTTATGCAAAAAGCATCTTCTCTGACAACTTTAGGTATTTGTTAAACATTTTTTTAAAAGTTCTAAGTCTTCTTTTTTCATCACTGTAAAAACTAAAATTTTGCGATGCACTACTATTTTTTGAATTCAAAGTAAAACTATTCTTACTTATGCAAAAAAAAAATATTTTCTGGAAAACTTTGTCAAATATTTTTGAATTGTTACAATTTATTTGAAGATACAACAATTTTGCGGTGTATTGAAGATATCTCAAAAGCTTAGCCTAACACTGTAGATACAATTTCCAGCAAAAAGGCTTCTTTAAAGTTTTAGAGTTAGTTATATGTTTTTGAAACTTCCTTAATCTGACTTTTTCTTTGTCAATGTAAAAACTACAATCAGTTATTTACAACAATTTTACAACGCACTACTACAAAATTTGGAACTTTGTTAAGGAATTTTCAGTCTGATCCTCACTGTGAGATTACAATTTTTTCGTAAAGATATCTCAAAATGTTAAAATAAAGCTATCGGTATTTGTACAAAAAGCTTAATTTGTTTCTAGTTACAATTTTTCGAGACACAGATACCTCAGAAACATCATTGATATGTTTAGACAAAAACGTATTTTCTTCGAAAAACATTAGAAATTAAATATTTTCGAGGTATATTAAATCTCACTTATTTAGCGGTGTGAGAATGACAATATCATTAAGTTACAACAATTTTGCGGTACAGTAGCAGCCTTGTCAGGTATTTTAGAGAATTTTCAGTTTGACTTGTTTTATCACTCGTTATTTTGGTTTTGCATCCCTTCACCAAAAAAAAAACACTACGTCTTACACTTTTGTATGTATCACAAGAAAATCCAATAGCGACTGCCGGCAGAATTCGTTGAACACTTCCGAGCACTTCCTTGCGGCACTACCTGAACGCTGGTACTACCTCAAGCGTTAGCCACGCACACCGCGTTCGATTCGCGAGGAAGGCAGAGAGTGCAAAGTAACAAATGAAGGAGGGCAATGCGAAACAAATGAACACGCAAAATGCGTTGACGCTTGCTCGATTCTCGGTACCGCTGCAGTACTACAACACCAGAACGCGTAGTGCAGGTGAGATTTTATACGTTTAAAGCGAAGCAAACGGTTCAAAGGACACGCTAACTACGCGGATGACGTTCCGGTGCTGTGGGTAGTACCCCGTGCCGTGGTAAATCCGGAAGACTCCAGAAGGAGTTAAACTACCAACGTGGATATATGAGGGGGATAATGTGTTGTTACACATTTAATGTCTTCAAAATAGGCACCACAGTACCAAACTTTTGCGGTAAAACTAGTACTTTGTGAATTGACAGTGGTATCGGTAGATTTCTTTGTCTTCTCCTTACAGCGAGTGGTGGTGCCGTTGAGGAGGGAGAATAGTGGCGTTGATACACTTCTTCATATCATCAAAATGCGCACTACAGTATTTCAAAAGCTTTGCGATAGTACCTTGGAAGCTTCGAAAACCCAGCAGTGGTATCTATAGCAGGATGGGAAGGCTAGCAAGCACCTTTGAATCTTTCTCTTAACGAGTCCTAGTACTGGCGAGGATATACGGGGAAATATCGACGGAATTGGTGCCACGGTACTAAGAAGGCTTTGCAATAGTACTTGAACGCCTTGCGAATCTAGATGTGGTGGTGGATTTTGGATGCGAAAGCTGGCAAGTAGCTTTAGCTACCGTTGACTCCTCAGAACGAGTGGTGGTACTGTAAAGGGTATATGAGGAAAGAATGTCTGTGTTTCATCTCAAACATCATCAGAATTGGTACGACTGTACTTTTTTGCTGTGGTGCTGATAGGATGAGGTGACATCTGGCAAGTAGGATAACTTTAGCTCTCTTTCTGCCAGAAGCAAAGACTTGTTTCAGGGATAAGTACCAAAAGGGATGTTTCTGGCTACTGAAATAAAACATTAGAAAGTGGTCCTCGAGTTCGTAAAGGCAGAATTAATTGAACAGCTACAGCTAAACCAGGATTTCTAGAATGTAACAGAAAAAAACTGTATAGACAGATTGTACAACAGCAATATATTCTTTAATGCAAATGGGAAGGCTTTTCATGTAGAGTCACATAGAATTTATTCAGTCATCAAAGCTGAAAAATACATTTCCTCGTATACTCAAAAAAAGTATTCATAAAATGAGGATACGTTTGAAATGCCATGTTGGGTTTTTTCCAAATTTGTGGCATTTTCTGGAGAATCAGAGAAATGGGAAAATCTCACGATTCGCGGATTGAAATCATCCTCGCCTTTTGAACCAAACTTACCATTTTTCATTAATTAACTATGATTTGGACGTTTTTTTTAGTAGCAATGCTGATGAATTTTTTAGATTATTCTGAGGAAATCCTGTTCGGCTCATCTGGCAACGCTGTGTAATTGACAGATCCGCCTTATGAACACGTTCCTAATAGTCTAAGATCCGACCGCTTGAAGCTGCATGAATCTGTTTTCTGACTGGCAAAGGAAACCCTTCTGTAATCTATTCTACTATTATTTATTATCCATACAAATAAGGTTTTATAACAAAAATAGATACCTGCACATTCAAGCGGTAGGATCTTTACTATATTTAATACCTTGCGCATGCGCTTCGATCACTGCGCACTCAGCCACGCTTCAAGCTTTGGGGTATTTTTTTTCTCACTTCGCCGGTTCTCCTAGTATAAAGAGTGTTTCACAACTTATCCGACAAATTTTAACCACATATACACTGTTTTAAAAGAAGTTGATTTCTCAGAAAAAATGTAATAATAGTCCTACAGAAATCGAGACAATAAAATAATATGTAATATGCGCCACGCTGTTGAATGTTACACTTCTGGGACCTGTTGGGCTAACTACCTTGTGCTTATTCCGGGATTTTCTTCCACAATATCCAAAATTTCATCTTCGGCATTTAAAACGCGTTGTGGGCTAACCCGACCCCAATCCACTCCACGTCTGGGGCGCAAATCTCCAATAGCACGTGCACGTAAAACAATTAAGTTAAATGTTTCGTGATATGGTATGTGCCTATTCGGAAATCGGTGTGCATACAAACGAGAAGCCGCTCTCGAATTTTGCCCTGCTTCTCCGTACGCTAAAACAATGTCCACTAACTCCTCATTAGTGTACACATGTGCCATTTTTATTAATAAATATATAAAAACATAAACTCACAAAATACTGTCTTATTTAACTTCACAAAAATCGACCGCTCTTCATTCAGATCACCCACGATACAGACTTAACCTTATTTACACGTTCTTATCAGTATGACAAAACAAAAAATTCCGGGTATTTTGTTTTCGTCAGTTGTTTGGTACATTTGCTACAATAAATTATTAATGGGTGTTCTAATATCACGACGATGAACGCAAAATACACATATTTATTTTACAATTTATTATTGAAACTCAGGTTTATAACTTAATTCCTGTAGGACTTTTATTACATTTTTTTAAATCAACTTCTATCGTAACAATGCATATGTGGTTAAAATTTGTTGGATAAGTTGTGAAACACCCTGTATAGGCTCCATAATTTGAGCGTTGGGAACTGTTTCAGTATCAAGAATGTCATCTCATTTTAATTTTCGACAATAAACGACAGCATTAAACCTTCCTGGATGTACGACGCTCGACACGGTTATGATGGGAGGCCAAAGTCAGGCGGGTCTGTCTGGCAGGCACATCGCGCGGCGGCATCAAGTAGGAGAGCTGTCTTCCTTTTTCTAGCTCACCGGCAGACATCGTCTTGTCACTCGGAATTCCTGCTTGTAGAGGAAATGAACATTTCAACAATAATAAAGATTGTCGTCAGGCAATAATACAGATTAGATAACATTTTAATTATATGCTATAAATAGTCTCTGTGACAAATGAAGAATAGTAATATGTAAAGGAACTAAAATAAAAGTATAAATTACTAGTTGGCTGTTAAACTTAATGACGGGTTTATTTTAATAGTTATAGTCATAACCATATTTCAAATTCGATATTCACCAATGGGATATCGGAAACGGTAAGAGATACGAAGTCAGTTAAATGGGGGCAAAGTTGCGCATTTCGGTAAATAAAATGGCATTAAGGAAGTTTTGCAAAAAAATTTCCGAAAGAAACCGAATGTTTGCAAAATCGATTTCATGTTTTCCTGACTGTATTTGAGATGGGATTTAAAAGTAAATAATACAATAAATAGCATTGCTACTTTTTCTCTTCTACAAGATGGCATAATTAGAATTTTAATATACAGGGTGTTTCAGTTTATTGTTGCATAACTTTAAGATTCGATAGAACTTTTAAAATTAATGCATAAAGTCTATATAAACATGGGTCGAAAAATGCGTGGCTTCCGAAATACAGGGTGTTTAAATTTACTTTCTAAAATAGTTTTTTTTAAATATTTCGAACAATATTTGATGTATAACAGTGAAAATTGGTATACAAGTGTTTTTTGGTACGACAAAACGAACCATATGCATAGTTTTACTGTAGCCGCTAGAGGACGCTCTCTACTGTACCTGTAGTGTATTAAAATGACCGAAAAAAATTTCTTAGTTTAATTTTTTGCTTTTTAAATAAAAAAAATGATTCTTCGCACTTTTCGACATAAAACAGCTCTCTTGTGAATTTTCGTTATAGTTAGCCGTTTTTGAGATATTTCGATTGTTAAGGTTCGATGCATTTTTAATTATTTATGATAAAATAAAGTTCAAAATTAATCGACTATTTGGACCCTACCTTTTGCCTGCAAGGTTACATGCTGCGACCTTCTTGGAATTTTTAAAGGCTGAACATGCAAATATGTGGGATGATGTTATGTTAGATTTAAGAAGATTGGCCTGGTTCCAGCTTGATGGTTGTCCAGCTCATTATTCGAGAATAGTTAGAAACTGGCTGGACGAAAATTATCCAGTAAGATGGATCGGCCGTGGAGGACCAGTCTCCTGGCCTCCACGATCCCCTGACCTAAATCCATTATATTTCTTTGTGTGGGGATTTCTAAAAGAAAAAGTGTACCAGACTCCCGTAACCACAAGAGATATGCTAATAGACAGAATCAGGAATGCATTTGATGAAATAAGGCCTAATTTGAATAATGCTATACCACGTTCGATCATTCGTAGATGTGAATTGTGTATTGAACAATTGGGTTTACATTTCGAGCAACTACTTTAGATTTTGTATGTTTATCCTAACTATCCAATAGCATTTTAGTTGTAAATAATTAATTTAATTTGTTCAAAATATTATTGGAAAATTAAACAAATTAATATTCTGTTTTTTGTGTTTATTTGGAGTTGGGAATTATTGCTGTGTTTAAAAACACAATCTAAACGATCATCAAAAATTTAAAAAAAATATTATTTTCCCATAAATAATTAAAAATGCATCGAACCTTAAAAATCGAAATATCTCAAAAACGGATAACTATAACGAAAACTCGCAGAAGAGCTTTTTTATGTTGAACAGTGCGAAGAATCAGTTCTTTTATTCAAAAAGCAAAAAATTGCACTATGAAAAAATTTTCGGTCATTTTTATACACTACAGGTACAGTAGAGAGCGCCCTCTAGCGGCTACAGTAAAACTATGCCCATGGTTCGTTTTGTCGTACCAAAAAACCCTTGTATACCAATTTTCACTGTTATACATCAAATATTGTTCGATATATTTAAAGAAAAAACTATTTTAGAAAGTAAATTTAAACACCCTGTATTTCGGAAGCCACGCATTTTTTGACCCATGTTTATATAGACTTTATGCATTAATTTTAAAAGTTCTGTCGAATCTTAAAGTTATGCAACAATAAACTGAAACACGCTGTATTGTTTCGTCTCGTGTCTCCAATCATAAACATAAACGCGACATTGGTTATTTGTATTGATGAACAGAGTTTTTAGTCCTGACACCAGAAATGTATGTATGATATGTCATAGTTGCCAATCTCATAAAAAGAAGATAGTTACTGAAAATTACCAGAAAAATCATCAAAAAATTAATGTTTAATCCAAGCATCTTTAAGGTGTAAAGCTTGAGTTTTTTGACCAGATAAAATTTATTTACAGTGAAAGGGACGGCAATTTGGTACTGCAGAATGAAAAAATTAAAGCAAGATGGATTTATGAAATGTACAACATTTATAATGATACAGAAGAAAACGAAGGACCGTATAGAGACGAGCAGTTAGAAGATAACATAGATGAGCCAGTGAGGGATGAAATAGAAACAATAATTGAAAACATGAAGGATTATAAATCAGCAGGGTATAACGGTATAATTGCAGAAAGCATTACATTTGGAGGGGGGTTGCTGAAACAACACATACATGAATTAATCCTAAGAATATGGAGAGAAGAAGAAATGCCCAGTGACTGGGAACTAGCACTTATTACCACATTACTGAAAAAGGGTGAGGAGACCGATTGTAGCAACTACAGAGGAATCTCCCTATTGGATGTAGTATATAAAATTCTATCAACATTGCTTAAAATGAGACTAGAGAAAATTATAGATCCACAGTTGGGAGATTATCAAGCTGGTCTTCGCAAGGGAAGATCGATAACTGATAACATTTTTTTTCACGAAACAAGCTCTTACTACCTGCTACGAATATAAAATACCAGCAATCATACTATTTATTGACTTCCAAAAAGCCTACGACACGATAAGAAGGAGTGCAGTATTTCATACAATGAATTATTTTGGTATACCTGGAACACTCATAAACCTCACAAGAATGACGATGAGACAAACAAGAAGTATGGTCAAGATGAGAGGAAAATTGACAACAGTTCGAGATTAATGCAGGACTCACTTTTATTTAATATGATCCTAGAAAGGATCGTTATTGAAAGTCAGCTGAATAGATCAGGAAGTATATTATTTAAAAGTCACCAACTAACTGCTTATGCTGACGATGTCGCCATAATAGCTAGGGATAAAAGGACAACGGAAAAAGTGGTAGAGCAGTTTATACAAGTTGCAGCAAAAATGGTATTGAAGGTAAACGAGGAAAAAAATAAATTTATGAGAATAGGGCCTGTCAGGCGGAAACGAGGCTAGAAATAACGGTCAGCACAGGAAAAAGGATTTTTAAGGAGGGGGATGAGTTTGTCTATTTAGGATCTCTAATCAGTAATAAAATAAATGAGTAAACAGAAGTTTTTTTTTTATATCGAAACAGCCGCGCAGGCAGAAGCCTAAATGCCGGAACACCGCGGCTGCTATGATGATCCCAAAGAAATTTTGTTAATACGATTTTTGAACTGCCTAAGGTTAGTAGAACTGGGAAAAGCTTCCTCCCGTAGATTGTCCCACAATCTAGACACCCTCGGGACAAAGGAGCGGTCGTATCGGCCAGTTCTGGATGTACGAAGCTTGACACGGTTAGGATGGGACGCCGAAGTCAGGCGGGTCTGTCTGGCAGGCACATCGCGCGGCGGCATCATGGAAGAGAGCTCTGAGGAGCAAAACCCGTTGGTGTAGCGATAGAAAAGAGCTAGATCGCCGACGACCCGCCGGTGCGAAAGAGTCCCGAGACTGTCTGTTATAGAAGAGTCATTGATCAGTCGGACCGCCCTCCTCTGGACAGCATCGAGCATGGACAATGTAGTCGAGGCGGCAGCACCCCAAATGTGTGAGCAATACTCGAGGCTAGGCCTTATCTGGGCCTTGTATAGAGTGAGAAGGTCATGCGGAGAAAAGTACTTTTTAGCCCTAAACAAATAGCCTAGCTTTTTCCCAGCAGCTGCAGCTATTGAAGAGATGTGTTCGTGCCAGATCAGGTCCTCGGTGATCTGGACTCCGACCAGCCGAAATGAATGGCTCTTTGGTAGAACTCGACCGTCCATCAAAACTGTATGAGCGCTAGGACGCTTTTTGTTCGTCAAAGTACAGTACTGTGTTTTGGAAGCATTGAACTGTACAAGATTGTTGCGTCCCCAAGCAGTGATATCCTCCAGGTCTCTTGTCAGAGAGGAAGTCGTCGCTAGTCTTCTTTTTTCCAGCTCAGCGGCAGAGATCGGCTTGTCACTCTGAATTCCTGCATGTAGAGTGCTGTCATCAGCGAAGCTGTGGATTGGGTTGATCGTGCAGGAAAGGAGGTCGTTGATATGTAAGAGAAACAGTGTTGGAGCTAAGACCGATCCCTGGGGAACACCCGCGTTGACGTTGTGGGATGAAGAGGAGAATCCGTCAATTACGACGGATATCTTGCGGCCAGAGATAAAGTCAGCCACCCATCTGCAAAGCTTTTCTGGGAGGCCGTAGGATGGAAGTTTGCTTAAGAGGGCAGCGTGCCACAGCTGATCGAACGCTTTCGTGATGTCAAGAGCAACGACATGAGCCTCACCATGAGACTGGATGAGTTTACTCCACAGTTGCGTGACGTAAGCTAGGAGGTCCCCTGTGGATCGTTGGTGCCGGAAACCGTACTGCCTGTCGCTAATCAAGCTGTGACGTTCGAGGTAGTCCAGAAGCTCGCGATTTATGCACCTCTCCATCACTTTACTTATAACAGAAAGCAGAGCTATACGCCTGTAGTTGTAAGGGTCGGTCTTAGATCCTTTTTTTTGGGATGGGCTGTACATGAGCAAATTTCCAGATTTCTGGGAAGGTGCCGGATTCATAAGATATCTGGAAGAGACGCGAAAGAACTGGAGCAAGCTCCGCTGCACATCTCTTCAGTACAATGGCAGGAATCAAGTCCGGACCAGAAGCTTTGTTGATGTCGAGCGACAAGAGCACTCGTCTTACGGTCTTATGCCTGAATGTGTGGGGAACCCTTTGAATTGACGGCACTTGGGCGTTGGTGGGGACGTCCATGGTGGAGTTGGCAGCAAAGATCTTGGCTAGCACTTCGGCTTTGGCCTTTGAGTCGAATACAATAGTTCCATCCTGACACGTAAGTGGTGGAAGGCTACTGTGTGAGAAGTTCTTTTCAATCTGCTTGGCCAGCGTCCAGAAAGACCGGCTGCCATTGCGTTGTGACATTACCCTATGCCTAACTTTTATATCATGCTGGTTTTTGGCATTGCGAACCGCTTCGTTATATTTGTTTCTGGACTCGACGTCGGCTTGTCTGTTCTCTACAGTGGGGTTTTGTAAGTAGGTTCTGTGTGCCTTGATCTTCTGCTACTACAGAATCGGTAAAGCCAATAAATGTGCGGGGATGCTTAACAGAAATATTAAGTCAAGAAATGTATCTGGAGTCTCCAAAATAAGGCTATACAATACGATCATCAAGCCAACCCTTTTGTATGGAGTAGAAACCTGAGTAATTAATAAAAAACTTAAACAAACATTACTTAGGTGGGAGAGGAAAATTTTATGGAGAATATATGGAGGGATCAAGGTGGAGAGAAGGTACGTTAGGAGCTCTAATGCTGAAATCTATCATGTATATAATGAACCAAACATAATAGAAGTATCTAGGACCAGAAGATTGCAGTGGCTGGGGCATCTGGAAATAATGCCGCAAGAAAGGACAGTGAAGCATATAGCATGGAGAGTTCCGAATACCAAGAAGAAAAGAGGGAGACCGAGAGGAAGATGGAAGGATGCGGTTATGGAAGATTTGAGGAGCAGGAATATCTGAGACTGGAAGAAACGAGCACTAGACAAGAAGTTGTGGAATAAACTTATCAAGCTTAGGGCCTAAAGGCCTGTTTTATAGCTGTATATATATATATATATATATATATAATTTATTTGCAGAAACACGTGTTCAAGCATTTTTCGTAGTCAAAAACCATTGAGCTGAAATTTTGTATAAAGCATTCGTTCTCCTGATGATACATTATGAATTATCGATATAAGTCAGCACAACTTACAATCTATTACTAGATAACGCGAGTTCGCATTGCTAGCCGGGTCACTACTGTGGCCGCTAGATGCCGCCGATTCTGGCGCTTTAGTAGATAGCGGCTAGTCGCCAATTAACAAACAAGTAATGAATTGAGTTCCTGATCTATTTGAGGTCCGACGGCGTGGTCCCCCATCTTGTCAAGGTCTTGTCATGCAGCAGGACGTTGGTTTAGCTTTTTGCAAAGAATGCAAAGTTATTGAAACTTCGCACACGTATAGGACCGATGACAATACAATAATTTGATAACAGTTTTCCATTATCCTTATTAGGACCGCCAGGATTGATAAATTCTTTTATAGATCCTTCGTAGGGGAGTAACCCAGAGAGAGCTAGCGCGATCTGCGCATGCGTGCAGTTTCGAACTTACTCTTTATTGATTCAGCCACTCGGCACAGCACAACTGCGGTAGATACTTTTTCAAAGTAGTGCATTCTCACATTGTTCATTGCGAATGTTGTAATTAGTGCTGAGTTGGGCTTCGGCCGTCCACAAGATGCAAGGTTGTACGGTCGATCATGCTGTCATTTATCTAAGCTCGCGACTGTTTGCTGCTGGACAAGCTTATGTAGCACTTAGTCGTGTAAGATCTTTAGACGGTATTCGGATTGAAGAACTTGTTTGATGACAAAAATATTCATTGCTTAAAAAATTGCGAGGTGAAAAATAAGGTTTAACCTTGACATTACTGACAGGCGATGATTCACCTGTCCTATTGTCTTCTTCGTCATTACGCAATCTCAGTAGCCACAGTGACGATTTTGTCAAATCTGTGTGGTCACAAGCTTGAAACAATAGATGTATGGGCGCTGAGGTGAGTAAAAAAACAAATGCATTTTTTTTTAATTTTATTATCTATAGTATCTGAAATAAAGAGTAGAAAATAGCGTGTGCCTAAAAAGTGCTAATTGAAAAGTTCCATTAGTTTTTTGATACTCCTTGGAATAAAGTAAAAAAGATAAAAACGTTTTAGCGAAATTTTAGTTTTCCTCAAATACGTCAGTAAACCATGAAATTTCTCAACGGCATGCAAAGAATGCAGCTCTTTCCTGATTCAACCTAAGCTGTATCTCCCACAGGTATTGAAATGCCCAAGCAGAGGGTCCTGATGTTGTACATTCTGTATAAGAAGTCAGGTCAGGCGATCCAAATCAACAGATGGTCATAAAATATTTGTAACCAGAGGACTTATTTTAATTTTTACTTACGCCTAATGACATGAAAGTATTGTAACAGCGAAAAATTTCGAAATTCAGATATTGTGTTTTGTTTTGTGTTATATGACAGCATGAGAAACCATGTCACTTATTTCAGTTGGTCTGTCTGTCTGCCCTTCTGTCCGTAAGTCCCTGGCCCGTCTATAACTTGGAAAGTACTGGTCGTATTAGGATTTTCACGCAGTTACTGTACCAAGGACGAAAAAGCTTTGTAGATTTTGAAAATCGATCCAATGACGGAGGAGAAACAAACTAACAAAAAAAATAACGCTCAAGCTTCGTTTTTTGACGTTTTTGAGACTCCTGCTCATTTTCGGAAAATTGCTTGTATGGGTTAAGGAGCTTGAGATTACAAGGTCTTTTCTGTGTTTGTAAAAATGTCGTAGCACTCAGAATTGTTTTACAAGAAACTAAGTGAATACTATCACAGTGTGAATAAGAAGAAACCATGGAATACAAATGAGTTAAAGGAGATAAGTTCATTTTTATAATTTTGTGAACCTAACCTAAATTATAACTTACATAGGCTTGCTTAACAGCAGCATCCAGTTGCTGGATTTCGTATAAATAGTAAATACTTGATTAAAAAAACAATAATGTAATAATGAAGACAACGTTTTAATCTATTCTTCTTTAATTTTAGATTAATTCATGCTTGATTATTTTTCTTTTAATATAATTGATAAAGTACTACCTTGTTATATTATGTACTTATTTGGAGAAAAACAGTATTGATTACAGCGTTTGACTAAAATAGGCGAATGTAGTAACGAAGTTTATGTGCTTGTTCAGTCATTACAGGGAATGACTGAAATGCTTAGTCAAACGTTGTAATAATCAAACTTACGGTGTTTACCAGCAACACGGGAACTGACTAGGCATTTCAGGGAATGACGGAATTCAGCGTTTGACGCTGACGTATTCATATGCTGGTAATCTCGCTAGTTCTACTCAGTACATATGTACTCGTATATCATACATCATAGTTTCTAGTTCGCTGCGTTATCAAATGGATGGGACCGTGGCATATTAGACTCAGTTGATCTATCCAATTCATTTTTTGTGTTATACACGTTCGTGGTTAACTGTTTTTCTTATAAGCGTTGCGTGAGAAGTGCAGAGTCTACCTACTTGACGCCATTTTTTTTAAAGTCACTTTACTACTTTTTCACAGGCATACGTATTTTGTGGTTGAACATTTTTTTGATTATTGAGGTCATTTTGGGGGAACGCTTCAATAGTATTACTAGTAAAGTCAATTTCGAACAGTTACAAGTACAGTAGCGACTCGATAATCCGGATCAATCAAAACTAGGTGCAATCCGGACTAACGAAAAATCCGGATTAGTGGAAAACAAGTTCTAGATATTACAAATATGTTTATTTCATAAAAACTGAAACATAAATTATCTAGATAGCTAAAATAGGCAAATAACAAAATAAAAAAGTAAAAAAAATAGTTATAAAAAATCAGTTATTTTTGTTTGCCTTTTATGTTCAGAATGCAACTTAATACCAGCTTCTTCTCCTAAGTCTTTTGAGGCAAGGATTGAGGTAAGTGCAATATTGTTGTCTTCTGCCCATTTAATCCCTGCTGTAAAATGCGCAATTGCCTCTTTATGTTTAACTTTTGGAACAGTAAATTGATTTCCATTTTATGTTTCTTCGTCACTTAGTGAATTTTCATAATAGTCATCTTGAAATTCGTCTTGAAGAGTATGTTCTTCAATTTCTTCCAGCCACTCCAAGATTTCCCCTTCTGTAAATTGTTCAGATGATGTTTTTTCTAGCATTGTTGAAATGTCCTCAATAGTCTCCATTTGCTGCTTTACTTGTACGCACAACAAGCTTGGCATTAAATCTTCCGGGTCAATCTAAGTTTTCAGCTAACAACTTTTTCCAACACTGTTCTAAAGCAGTTGTTGACACTTTTGTCCATGCATTATGTAATAAGCAAACTGCGTCATCTGGATTGAAGTTTTTTATAGATTTACTAAGGTCATTGTCTTCTTGCTCCATAGTACAGAAAATGTGAGCCAATAAACTTTTTCTATAAAATAATTTGATTAATCTTACCGCATTTTGGTCTAACGGCTGAATCAATGCGGTGCAGTTGGGCAGTAAAAACATTGCGATTATTTTACCATCTTCAGAGACCAATTCCTTTTCACTGCAGTGGCAGGTGCGGTATATGCCGATCACGCTGTTGCAGAAACCACTCGTAAAATTTCTTTTCCATTTCAGGATTTTCAGCAGGCCGTAAAAAGCTTTTCTGCTACCTGGACCAGAAATGCGTTTCTTCATAAGACTAAAATATCAAATGCATTGAATATAAAAACATTTTTTTCAAAATTGTATAACTGTTACGCATTCTTGCCTCTGTTTTTCTTAATATCTGACATGGTGGATGTTCCCACTCCATACATTGCACCTAACTTTTTGCCACTATCACCTCGTTTCAGTTTATCTAAAATTTCAGCCTTCTTTTGGACCGACAAAGTTATGTGTTTTCGTGTAGGAACCATGGCGTTTGTTGTTGAATGTCTGACCCGTGGAAAGGTTCTGCTTTATTTGCGACCCCGTGTGATATTTATCAAGATTGAACTTGTTAAAAACTTAATATCTGATCCGGACTAGCGAAACATGACTATCCGGATTACAGAGTCTGTGAGACAGGTCTGAATTATTGGAACATGCGGATTACAGTGGACCCCCAATAATCCGGCCCCTGTCTAATCCGGCGTCCCCTGCAATCCGACATGTCTTTGAATATGTATTACATACATACGTATTTGACAATCTTCGCTAATGTAGATCACGCAGGTTTGAACAGGTTACAACTTATACGCGCCACCGCTATCGTGTTCGACGCGTAAGCATTGTTTTACTTAGTTTGAATTTGATTACTGGTGATAGCGGTACGGCCTATCGTGCGTTCATTATTTACTATTTATTCTTTGTGTATTAAGTATAGTACCTAGTAATGTCATCACAAACTCAGAAGCGAAAGCACAAAACATTGACAATTAAAGAAAAATGTGATATTTTAGACCGCTTAAATCCTAATGAAACTTTCAGTAGTTTAGCAAGTCAATACAGCGTAGGCCGATCTACAATTTATGACACTAAAAGAAACCACGAGAAGATCAAGAGGTTCGTGTCAACTATTGACTGCGGACCAGGCAAGAGACAGACACTCAAGAAAGCTGAACATCCACCAATTTCAGGACCCATGTTGGCCATGAAAGCTAGTTTTTTTTATAAGGAATAACCAAAAAAGATGATTTTGTGGCCAGCAAAAGATGGGTAGAACGTTTTAAAAGTCGTCATGGCATACGTTTAATGACTATTACAGGAAAGAAACTTTCTAACGATGCCACCTGCATAGAGCCCTTTAAATTAAGATTTTTGCAAAAGGTGAACGATTTAAATCTTGACCCGTCACAGGTGTACAATGCAGACGAATCAGGGCTTTTTTGGCGTGTGATGCCTAACAAAACTTTCGTTTCTTGTAACGAAAAATCCGTACCTGGACGAAGTAAGTAAAGAGCGTGTAACCATACTACCATGTGCTAACGCTGCGGGCACACACGCGCTTAAGATGGTCATTGTTAAATCTAATAAACCACGGGCATTCAAAAACATTGATTTACGGACAAAGAAGTGTATGGATGACAAAAGACCTTTTCAAAAAATGGTTTGATGAGTGCTTCGTACCTGAAGTTAGAAAATGGTTAAAAGATCACAATTTTCCTCAAAAAGCGTTGGTGCTTCTTGATAGCGCTGCAGGTCATCCGTCTAAAGAAGAACTAACAACTTAGGATAAATGCATCACTGCGATGTTTCTTCCGCCAAATTGCACTGCACTGATTCAACCAATGGACCAGAATATCATTCAGTTTTTCAAGCAAGACTATAAGAAAAACCTACTTCTGAAAGCCGTATCAAAAGACCAACCAATAGAAAAAACTTTAAAAGAATTTATTATGAAAGACTCGGTTTTTGCTCTTTGTCAGTCGTGGAATGCGTTACCGTCATCAACTATCAAATCGTCTTGGAAGTTATAGCCAGATATAGTCACCACTCCTAGTAACGTTTCACAAATCAGTGTTACTTCGGAAGTTATAGAACAAGTCGTTACTGAAACACAGATAAGTCCGGAAGATTTGGAAATCTGGTGCCGTGGAATGGATAAAGAGAAAAATGTTTTTCATGAAATGTCTGACGAAGAGATTATAAAAGAGGTTTCTAATTATACAACAAACAAATAGGAAAATAACGACGACGTGATTGCAAGTGCTCCACAGGTCACAGCACAAGACGCAATTAACGCCTTTGAGCTAGGTTTACAATGGGCTAAAGAGAATGGTACATCCTACAACGAACTTTTACTTTTGAGAAGACTGAGGGACAAACCCTGATCTCGCGTTATAACAACCTTAAACAAAAAAAAATTGATGAATATTTCCAAGCCTCATAATTTGATAATCTCATTAATGATTTTGATTAATAATTCTTGATTATTTTGGTACTTATGTATGTGCATTTATGCTTAATTTTATAATAAAACGTAAGGTCTCTATTGTTATTTAATTTACTTAATTCGACATACATAAACTATGTATGATTTGTGCTTCAAAGTACATACATATACATAACATATAATCTTACCATTGGATATATAATTTGTCGGATTACAAGGTACTCTTTTGTAAAAAATTCCGGACTATAGGGGGTCTTAGGCAGTGCTCTATAATCCGACAAATTCAATAGTCCGACACTGCCCTGCATAATGTTTGTCGGATTACCTGAGGTCCACTGTATAGCAATTCGGATTATCGAGTTGCTTACTGTATTGCATTTACTAGTCCCAAATGCTGTTTTTGGTAATTTTTCCAGAATAACTACGTACACCCCAAAGGTAATAATAACAACAATTTGTAATTATGTGATAGAGCAGTACTAATCATAACATTGTATAAATGCATTCAAGTTGTTATGCTCGAGAATTCTCTCCAAAAAAGAATGCCAACAGCTCAGGCGATTAACAAAATGACCACTACTTAGTGAATGAATGATTAACGAACAGAAATATTTAAAAATGATTGTCTTCTTTAATCAAAACAATTCGAATGCAGATTACTTAAATTACTTTGGCAGTACTATTCCATGAAATAATTGACGTCATAACGTTTGTATAAATCATTCGAAATAAGTTGTTTATGTCGAATTTTCAAGTACGATCCATGTTTTTTCGCTTTTTTCGCTGGTATGTAGAATCCATTACTATGAAATCCATAGATTCAGAAAGACCCCATTCAAATCCTCTGAAAATTGACATATAGAATATAATTTTTGAAAACATAATATTGATGTTCATTTGAATAGATTTTTTTTGGAGATATCTTTAAGACTTGTCTTGTATCAAAGACGTGATATGGCTCAACTTCGGGTCAGGACACCGAGGAATGATAGTCTTATCATATTGGCAAATTTCACAGAAATAATTGTAATCTTTGGTTTTATTGGTGCAAGTTGTTCAAGGGGAAATTTAAAACATGGACGCACAAAATGGGTACAGCAATTTTTGTAGGACAACTTTTTATTCGACAACAAAGAATGAGAAAATGTGTTTTTTGGGATTCAATCGAAAGTGTTGACAGGAACGAAACAACTTTTCGGATAAGATTTTTAGGTATTTACGAGACCTACAAAATGAAACCACACGTAAAAAGATCCGACTAATAGCATAAATGTTATGGTCGAAAAACGAGGCAAAATGCAGGTTTTGGCACTTGTTGGTAATGAGAAGATAATTTCACGCAACTACTTGAAACTCTCCAAATCCGTAGGATTCATATTTATAAGAACAACAAAAATGGATTGTATTGGTCAAGTAGTTTTTTGAGAACCTCTAATTGTTTATCCCAAAACACCTGTTCTCTGGCCATCACTACTAGTTTATTGAGCAATATAAAGGGTTCGTTGACGATTGACATTTGTTTTTCATGTAAGTTTCCGCAAGACTACTTGATTTCTCATGGCCTCTGTGGCGACGTTGATTGATACCTGGAGGTCTTCTGACGAAAGGGACAGATTTGTCTGCTGACTCTTATTGGTGGCGTGTAGCTATATTATCCTTTCCATCCTTGTTATCCTTTCGGATTACAAACGTATCCACATAATATGATTGACATATATTCTGTATTTTCGATGAAAGGAAATACAACTAGAAGCCACCAAAAGAGAGTATTCGATGCACATCCGTCTGGGCCAGATGAAGCTAATAAGCAGAAATGTACCTTGCTTGGGTTACCATTCCTTTTTCCCAGCACATTTTTCTTTATTGTTCTTTGTTTTCCAAATAATGGACTCCACTAGTGAATATTCATCGTCAATTTGACAGACGTGTATGACAACAAGAGTATGTCCGTTCCACGCGTCTGAAAGTGATGCAGGGAGTTTAGTGCGGAGCAGAAAGAACCGCGATAAGAACGGAATGGACGGCTACCAGTCTCAGAGCCGATTAGCGGGATCGTCCAAGGCAATATGTTACAGGAGGATCACTTTCCGCGAACTCCTAGGAATCCGAGCTCGACCCCGTAGTTGTAGATGTTCTATTGCAATGCAACAAAAAAGAAATAAGAGAAAAGTGTGATCCAACGCCAAGGCAAGATATATTAAGGACAATGCCAATGTTCCTAGCATTGATGTTAATATCCGGGCAATGACTTGAATGGCTAGCCAAGTTGGGAATATTTTCTAAAGCTAAGAATATGTCCTAAAACTTTTGGCACCAAATATTTATCAGATTTTTTTTTTAGTGAAGGAATGTATTTAAACACTAACTAGTTAT